TGTTAAAATAATGTGTAGACACTTGACTACACGTGTGTGTGAAATGTTTTTTTTTTGGATCGGGTCACCCCTTTGGACGCAATACCCTGAAATAATTGGCCCACTTACTAAACAGTACCCGAAAAATAGATAATCAAGCATATTAGTAACGATGGTTTTCAACTTAAAATAAAATGTGTTTTATTTCGGGTTCTACTGAACTAATCGAAATACTTCTTTCGCAAAAGATTAATGATTGTTGGCGGTCTTTAATTTACTCTCATTCGGGCGGTACGTTAAGGTAGTAGGAACTGAGATCTGGTGGGTAAGTACTACAATGGAGCACATGAGGTCAATGAGCTCCCATAGAAAAAATACCCTCTTCGAGGCAAAAACATTGGTGTATCACACTTTAAAATCCGACTATAAATGCTGAAGGTATGAAGAAAAATGTAATTGGGCGACTACTAGGGTTCTCCAATAAAAAAAATATTTTTTTGTAAATGCTTTTCAAAAACACATCATATGATATTTTTAATACATTTCAAACAACATCAAAATCTTTAAATTAATACAATAGTTTTTTAGTTATTTCAATTAAAATAAATTGAGAAATTTATTCTTCGACCTTCAATAACACCAGTAATTGATATTTCCACCTCAAAAAAAACAATACCGTTATGATCAGGACTAACACCCCTATCGATCCAAATATAAATTTTTTTAACCAGAGAAATATACGTATTCTGCTCTTATACCAAGTAATTAACCAATTTAAAGAATAAAAATCGACTCAACAAAGTTGAAGCGGATAAATTCTCCACATTGAAACACAAAAAATTTTGTATATTCATTTTAACACATAAATAACGAATAAATTAACAATTCAAAGTTTCTCTAAACACAACTCAAACAAGCTAATAGTACACTGCGTTGCATAATTATAAGACCGCGACATATTAACAAATTTTGAATATTTATTTTTAACCGACTTAAAAAAAGAAGGTTATCAATTCGTCGGATTATATACATATTTTTTGGTATGTTACCGCATACATTCGACCACCTCCACGGATTTCGATAATTATTTTTCTGTCGGAAAGGTAGTGGCTCACATGTGGTCCCATACTAATTTGGTTTAGATCCGATCATTGGTTCATGAAAAAATTAACGGTACTCCTAAATTTTGTATATGACAATTGAAGTCGGTTGTGTTTTTTGATTAAAAATTACTTTTTAAATTATTTAATTGTATTACTTGCAAAAGAAATTGCTTTCGTTCTTCGTCTTTCGCCAATGTTCGATTATAATTTTTTATCAACGCTATACCTCATTCAGCAATATATTAACATATTTAATACTTTTAATCGTCTCTAAGACAGCCAACTTCAGGGTAATTTTTTAGAGAATTTAATGCCCTACAAGAATATGCCTAGAAAAATCTTTATCCCTTTTTTACAACGCTTTTATCAACTTGCAATGTTGTATGTCCAGACCACCATTTTATACTATAAATATAGCAAAGGTAGTTATGGCAAACCTAGTCTAGATATCAACCTCGTCCTAGGTATCATATCAAAGACATACAATTAGAAAAAACTCTAGAGATAGATGTCGCCTCGCCAGAAGAAGTTAAAAATATGCACTACATACGCTACAGCGGAAATGGCGATACGCCATTTCTTTAAATGAAATTAATTGCTGCTATATGTATGTATGTATATATGTAGGCATATACTAAATGTGAGCAAACAACATTTTGCTTGCATAGTCTTCTGTTCTCTTTTCACTGCAAGTTGAATTATTTTAGTATCTATTACAGAATTTTATACAGACAAGACTAAAAAGTATAAAATAAATTAAAAAAAAAACTTTTTAATGTACCACGCTTTTATAAATGGACTAAATTAGAAAATATTATTTCTCAGTCCCATAGAACTTGTTTTGATAACTTTTGATTTTGAAATTTTAGCAAGTCATTATAAACAATTTATGAGATTGAAAATGAAAAGGAAGGGCGCATGTAATAGGCCTGATTTGAAATTGAAGAGTAATATATGTATGTATGTGGGTATATTAATAACGACCGCTTAAAATCGATCTATAATTTATTTTACTCTACCTTTCAAAGTTCTTTTGTAGCTCGGTTGCAAAAGAATGCACCTACTATAAATGTAGCAAAGCTATTTATGGAAAATTCTAGATATCGACCTAGTCTAGATATCAACCTCGTTGTAGGCATCATATCAAGGAGATACAATTAGAAGACTATAGATGTCGCCCCGCCAGAAGAAGTTAAATATTGCGCCTAAATATATGCACTATTTATATACGTCACAGCGGAAATGGACGACACGACATTTCTTTAAATGAAATAAACTGCTGCTATATGTATGTATGTACATATGTGTGTTTATACTAAATGTGAGCAAACAACATTGTGCTTGCATAGTCTTCTGTTCTCTTTCACAGCAAGTTGAATTATTTTAATATCTATTGCAAAATTTTGTACAGACAAGACTAAAAAGTAGAAAATAAATAAAATAAAATAAACTTTTTAATATACAACGCTTTTACAAAAGGACTAAAAAGTAGATTATTTCTTAGTCCCACAGAATTTGTTTTGATAACTTTTGATTTTGAAATTTTAGCAAAAGTCATTAAACAATTAATGACATTGAAAATGAAAAGCGTGGGGCGCATGTATTACACTTGAATTGTTATGAAAAGTAACATATGTATGTATGTGGGCATATGAATAACGACCGCTTAAAATCGATCTCAAATTTGTACTTTCGCTGTAGAATGTTATGTAGTTTGACTATTGTCAATGAGATAGAATGCTTTGTACTGCATGCGCTCCACGTTTTTCGTTTTTAATGTCATTAATTGTTTATAATGACTTTTGCTAAAATTTCAAAATCAAAAGCTAACAAAACAAATTCTGTGGGGAGGATAACTTCGATAAACGGAGAAATTACTTTTTTGCTTATGAGTTAATCTCTTCAAACAAATTGGTTTGGTCCAATACTCAGAAAAAAAGTTGATTTTGCCGTATAGTGTAATTGATAGCTTTCGTTCAAAACCATATAAATATAACTAACAAGCAAATACCCGGCGTGCTTCCCCAGCAAACATTTCATAAATGAGTCTTTAAGGAGTCCTATTTCGGAGCCTTTACGCTCATAATGAGCTCATTTAAGAGACCGATATGAGGGTGTTTCCGTTCCTCCGAAGGTTGACTTATATGAGCTTAAATTCATACATCAAATAACCTCAATATGAGCCATATTGAACTCTTATTGGCTCATTTTGGACTCTTTTAAAACCATTTTTGGCCTCATATATGAATCATTTCAGACTCTTTTTGAGGCTCTTATCGGCCTCATAAATTACTACATTCGGACTCTTATTTTAAGTTGTTCTTTGGGTCTTATTTAACGCACTATATTTGCAAAGGAATTCAGCAAAAATTTCTTTCAAATATCATACATACATACCTACGTGCATATACGCATTCCAACATGCATTTAATAGCAACAGCTGCTGCTAAATTTTGTAAATTTTTTGTTTTCTAATTATTTTAAATTTCTGTATAAACAAGTTTAGATATAAATTTCGAATCTTTATTGCCTTTATATTGCCACAAGGTGCTGGTTCATAACTTGGATCATATATATAATATATAAGATTCATATAAGAGTAAAAAAAATTTTTGTTTTTGAAAGTCCTATTTCTTACCTACCTATGACTCCTTTCGGACTCATATATTTTGAACCCTTAGAATATGTTTGCGGGGTCACTACGCCTTAAACATATTTTTGTGTTGTTACTTCTTCACAAAACTCTTATGGCTTCATTCATAAAAAATAAATAGATTTGCAGAGCATTATGAAGTGAGATTTTCAAACAAATTTTCGATTTGTGAAACATACTTTACCTTTTATAAATAAACTAGCCGACCACGGATGCTCGAGATTACCGCGTACAAAGTATCTCGACTTTCGTTTGTACTATGTATAGATGTGTTAGTCAATATATTTTCGAAGGTATTTAAAATTTACACTCTTTAACCCGATTCTACATATCGTGCACTTTCTTCAAAGGTGTATTAATTCAGTATTTACCTACCTTACCTTTAACTGAATAAAAATTTCCAAATAGGTGGCAATCCGCTACAAAAATATTTTCGATAATAAACTTTCTTAAACCTCTTTAGTTTGATATCCGTATTGTAATATTTCATTTATTTTATCAATTTAACAATTGGATAGAATTTTTCAAATAGGTGGCAACCCTCTTCAAAAATGCTTTTGGCAATAAACTTTTCTAAGCCTGATGTATTGTGGAACGATTTTCCGATTGTCAAGGTATGACGGAAAATCGTTCCACAATACATCATACTCCTACCCTGTCGGAAACACAAACAACCAAAAGAAGTTTTCTAAGCCTCTTTAGTCTGATACCCATATTGCAATATTTAATTTATATTATCAATTAAATCAAATTAAAATTTTCAAACCGGTGGCAACCTTTCACAAAAATAGTTTCGACTGTAATTCTTCTTAAACTCTTTCTTTTGACAGCCATATTACAATATTTGCTTTATCTTAGCAATTTACTTAAACTGTAATTTTCAAAACGGTGGCAACTCTCTAATTATTGTTTTCATATATTTTAAGTTAGGCCTCATGCAATGCATTGGTGGAAACTGCATTCGATGCATTCGTTTTCGAGTAGTGCGCATACAAACATACAGACAGACAAAAAAAACTTCTAAAAATTGTGGATTTGGCTTCTGTACAAAATTGAGATATATACATACATACATGTGTATATCGTAACGAATTTTTAGTAAAACATAGCCGTTTGTGTACTTAACTAAAAAACTCTACCAGAAAACGCGCGATATATAAGAAATCAACTACGAAACTTTATTTTATACTTTTACTCCGATTTAGCTCTGCCGTAGTTCTAATTACACACATGCTTTGAAACTAAAAACTAATAAAAAATCTCACCTTAAAATCCAAAATGTTCGATCGCCGAATAGGTTGAACTTTTTGTTGCTGGGCATGCGCACATTCAAAACTTTAACAGTCCGAGTCGCCGAGGGTATTTGTGTGAATTCCGCCATAGTGTGAACGTCGTTATTAGAGCAGGTGGAAGGTATACAAACGCCAACATAGATGGTTCTAGTCTAAAAGTTAAATAAATGTAAACATGTACTACATGTAGATTAATTCGAAACCGTATGTAAACTAAGAGTACATATCGGTCATTTAATAAAATACTGTCACAAGTCAAAAAAGGGAATTATTGAGCTTATGACGCAGAATTACACCTTATATCATTCCTCATAATGTATAAAAATTCTTTGTTAAAAACTTGCTTAGTTACCGCGTGAGAAGAGAATATGTATGTATATGTGCAGGATCCCGGGATCCCGGCCTTTTTAAGGTCACAAAAATTTCGGGATTCTTGGCAAATAAACCCGGGATTTGCGGGATTTGTAATTTGATGGCGATAATAGAAACTCCTTTTCTTGACCAGTATTGGCTTTTTTATTTAAAAATTAATATTTTTTTATAAATGTCTAGCTCATTATACATATAACACCGCGCGATAGTCAATTTTGAACACAAATATCAATATATTCGCGAAACCATGGGCCAAATATAGCAAAATTGCGTTCTTAGTTTTTCACTGTGACGTCAATTGGTCAAAAATGAATTAAAAAATTCAGATAAATGTGCTTAGGGAAGAAATATGCGTATTAAAGAGGAAATCCTGAAGAATTCAAACAGATTCAAGTTTTTGGTGCAGAAAGACTGGTAAGTATTGAAAATGTCCTTTTAAACTTTTGTCCTTGAGATTTCGCAATATTTGTTTTTGAAAAAATTATTTGTTAAGGACCTATATAAACTCGATAAATTCCTCGAATTTCGTCCTTCTAACTTTATCAGCTTAAAAAATTACCTATTTGTTCTTGTGAATCCAAAAAATTTTAAGTTTCTTAAGCTTTAAAGAAATTTCCTCTTGCATTTGGTATACATTTTTTTATTCTGCATTGCATTGGATTTTTTAAATAATTTTTGGAATTATTCATATCTCTGAAATAACAAAGTCCTTTAAAATAAATCCTGACGTCAGAGAGAAAAAATAAAAACGCCACTGTGATATAAAATTGAGGTTCATGTATCCGTATTTGATAAAACCAAAAGGAAATGAAAGCTTACACCTTCCGTAGCGAAATCCCAAAAAGATTTTTAGCCTATAGATCGAGGAATTTATTTTTGATCGAAACGTACTAGATTTTTCCTGTTTTTAATCTGAGTAATCCATTATTTATTGCCAGTTTCATTATTAAAGTTAAGCTAGATGATGTGACAAATATCATTACATTATTTTTGCTAAAAAAAAGATAGCATTATCGTGATAAAAAGCGTTTATTTGAAATGTTTTGTGAGAAAAATTAACATTTTTATCGAGAAAAATACTTTCTTAATTAAAAAATAGTATCTTCTATTACAAAATGGGGTTTTTATTTACACTTAGAAAAATTATGGTATGAAAGTATTTAAAAAAATGGCTAAAAAATTTGAAAATAACGAAAAAATTATAACTTTATTTTTTCAACCTAATCTAACACTAAACGCATTACTTTTATTTGTCAATGTTATTGTGGCTTATTAAAATTGTATTTTTAATATTTGTTATTGAGCTTTGTACCACGATTGTTTATTAGGAAAAATTGAAAAAGCAACAAAGTCTAAGCGGTAGAAGTTATAGCACTATTTCGGAGATCACCACATCTCCTCATCAGACTTCTTTTTTCTAGACTTCAGCAGGGATCGAACCTGCGAATTCGATGTTCAAAGTCAGAAGCGTTAACCACTGAGCTATGTACATCCCGTAAACTCTTGTTGCTAATTCATTTTCCTTATTCAACCAACTACTATCAAGTGCAGCTGATTTGCCGCTATTTAAACTCGACAGCGTGGTTGTTGTTGTCAATTCTATACATCCATTTGCTTATTTGCTTTTTTGTATAGTTTCAGGCAGGCTCTTCCTAAACTATGTATTTGTCAATATTATTGTGGCTTATTAAAATTTTATTTTTAATATTTTTTATTGAGCTTTGTACCACGATTGTTACTCTTACATTTGGTTAAACGCGCTACTAATGACAGCGGCAAAAAAATCAAAACTTTGTGTTTTCGAATATTACACTATATATACGGTGACCATTCGTACCGATTTTGGCGGGACAGTACCGGTTTTGAGAACATTATCCCGCTGAATATTTTTTAAAAGTCGGGACGTATAAGTGTCCCGATTTTTCCTATTTGTACCGATTATGTCCCGATTTTCAGTGTTTTAATTTTTAATTTAACAAGAGTCTTCCTGTACTCTGGCCCAAGAACAGTTTTTCATACAAATATGGCAGCACTCTCGTTATCACAAAGAACATAGAATACATATAGGGGAGCCACAAACATAACCAGCATCCTTATTTTCTATGAACTTTGGTTATGTTTTATTTTGTCAAACTGGTACTCTCGCTATATTGTTGTCATCATTCTTGTCAACAATTTTTTAAGGTTTTTATAACTTTTTGTTAAGTTTTTTTTTTATACGGAAACGATTCATACTTGAATTTAGTGAAATTATAAAAATGCTGTTAATACAATGGCGAAAATATAAATAGGGAATAGACATTTTAGCATACTTTGTATGGAATAATATGCGCGAACAAAAAATTGCCAAAAATCAACGGTAAGCAGTGTTGCCGCGAATCATTTTTAGTGGTAGCCACATTCCTATAAAAAAAGGGCTAAAAAGTCGTTGTGGCTAAAAATGGTAGCTAAAATTTTTACTTACATATACATTAGACTGCATAACCAAAAAAAACTGGCGGGTTTTCGCCGGGATTACAAAATTTATTATATTTTAAGACGTCCACCAAAATATTTCTGAAAAATATTAAGATTTAAGCGAGCTGGACCGATTTGAAAATACCTCCGAAAGTGGAGTTTTTTATGAATAAAAATAGTTTCTTAAAGAACTTTTTGAAAAAAGTCCCCTCAGATGACAAAACAGATTAAGCTTAAAAAATCTGCATAAAAATATTTAAAAATCTTTTAAACGCAATCGTAAGAATGAGATTTTTGATGCATAAAAATCAAAAATTGTTTGATCGTTTGTGCGATATCGTCAACTCGATTCCAGTTTTGGTTCACGTAACAGTAACAGTAACAGTAACACGTAACAGCAACACAAATGCATTAATCAGTGTTTGGACAACATCGTTTTGTCAGTATCGTTTGAACGACTATCGTTTCAAAGTCACGTGATTCATGCCCAGTTGCAACAAATGAGTCCATACATATTTATGTACATACATAGGTACAAAGCCGTATGCATGTGCGGAGTTTAAATAATCGGAAGTAATAATCAATTGTAGCGCATTTCCTCTTACTATGCATATGCCGAAATTTTGTGCTGGGATATGCGTTACAGCTTCGCAAATTTTACCCCTACCGAAACCAAAGATGTATACACATCAAAAATAAAATTTTATCTGTATCTTAACCAAAAACAAAAGAAAAGTACCACAATAAATACATGAATTATATAAGAATTCAAGGACAAATTAATTATCAGAAGCATTGGTCACGTTCATAAGACGTAGCTGTTTAGCTCATCTGCAAATGAAATTGCAACAAATAGAGATAGTTGTGCCGATACTATTTAGAATTCAACGCTGAGCGGCCGCCGTGTCGAAAAAATCGTTCAATGTTACAATGAATTAAACAGTGTAAAATTATATAGCAAACATCTTAAAAACAGATATTTAGAAACGTAGTATTATTATGAAATATTTTAGTTACTTTATCACGTCAGTAATATAAAATATAATAAATTTGTTTGCAACTGCCACCTAACAAAGCGGCGTTAAATTTAATATAAGCGGCGTAAGTCTTTTCGATCAGCTGTTTAGGCTAAGCCCAACACGTTGAGTTCAGGTAGCGTAAACATTTTCCGCTGGAAAAAATGGCGGAAAGTTGCCAACTGTTGGGCTGAGCGTAACTACTCAACTGTGCGTTTCTAAGACAAACAGCCAACGGTTACCCAACAGCTACCACTTATGAACGCGCCCATTGTCTTTTACTTGCTGAAAAAAGTAATAACAACTTTCAAAAAAGCAAAATCGCTACAGCGAAAAAATGGTTTGAAAACCCGCATAAAAAAATCTCATAAAAAAGGACGTAAGTGTAGTTAGCTTTCCTCAAAGAAACTATACAGATAATTGTGACCTTTAGTTCCTTCCCAATCAACTCCAAGTTAACTTATAGTTAGATAAATTTCCCGCTGGGAAATGCCCACTTTTAGCTCGTGCTTGTTTGTGGTAGTGTCCTTCTAGGCTCATATTTGATAATTATTTTAGTTTTCAGAGATGCTGAATTTGTTGGTGCCAGTTATAGCTCAACCAGCAACCGACGTAAAACCGTAGACCGTGTCAGCTGCCACGACCTACTATCTTATGGGATTCTTGTGTTAAAGCCAGTATGCAGCTCTCAAGAAAAGCAAAAACTCCATATAAAATGACGTACAAGAAATGGCTAGGAAATTTCCTTGTGTAAAATTTTCTTGAGGCAGTACGCAGTTCTTAAGAAATTTGGTATGCCTTCTACTACGGTTTTCTAAAGTTTTTTGTGAAAAAGTGCACAAGGCAACCCATGCTTGCAACAGATATATATGCCCGTTCCTTTATTTCTTGAGGAAAGAGTGAAGCAACAGGCTGGTGAAGTATCAGATTTCAAAATTCCTCGGACACGCACGAAATAATGTCAATTTTTTTTTATAATTTTTTTGAGGGCTGCATACTGGCCTTTAACGAAAACTCAACACCGCATGACGGTGTCTCTATCAACAGCAATTTCATATGTTGATACGGACGGCAGGTGCGGAAGGGCGCCCCCTCGATGGTTGGTTGAGATTTCTTGATTTTCTTCGTTTGCACAAAAAAGTCTTCCGTAAAGGTATAATGCGAATAATAAAATTAAGTGACCTTTTTGTGACTCCAAATGTTTGCTGGGTTTTTACTTTTCTATACAAGACCTAGAATTTAGTGTGCACACTAGGGTGGTCCGAAAAAAATATGCCCTTATTTTTTTATTTTGACATCAACAAATATTTAGAGGTCGCTCAATGCGCTCAAAGCTTTCCATGTATTTTATATGGGGAAAAACGACTTTTCGTAGAAATAGTAAATCAATAATTTGATCGGAAATAATTTTTATCGGAAAACTTTGTTTCTCTTCAGGAGATTCCCAATAATAATACCAAAAACAATTGAGTATTGTTTGAAGAGAACCACAGTTTTCAGATCGAAAAATGTTGATTTTTAAGAATTCCATACCGTTTATACGAAAAGTGGTTTTTCCCATATAAAATACATGGAAAACTTTGATCGCTTTTTTGATTTCAAAGTACAACTTGATTAAAATTTTTTTCAGGCTTCAAGTATACGTCTATGAATTATATCCAAAAGCAACCAGCTTGATATAGTTTATAGCAATGAAAATAAAGCTAAAGAACAAAGATTTGCCCATATCGGCAACTTGAAACACTATCGAAAAATGATGTATCGACGTGAGATTTTACGGATGCTCTAGATATCAAGTAGCAAACAAAATAATATTTTAAAAACTTCCGACCGATTGAATCAATTATTATTAATCTAGACCCCCTCCGCACGATAATTCTTAGAGGTCGCGCATCGAGATTTTATTTTCTTATAGGAATAACACGTAAGAAAATGAGTTATTCTCTTTTGAGGTGAATGTAATTTTCTAGGAACAATCAAAACGTCCGAAACTGTAAGAATACATTGAGTAGACGCCATTTAAGTGTTATGCAGGCGATTAAAAAAGATAATTTCTGAATTTAAAAAATCTGAGCCTGCATAATAATACTTAAATGGCATGTAGTCTATGTACATATCTATTATTACAGTTTCGGCCGTTTTGATTGATCCTAATTAATTTTTCATATTCACCTCAAAAGAATATGTAACTAATTTTCTTGCGAGACCACTTAGAATTACAGTAGAGAGGGGGGGATTATAGGAGGGGACCGGTCGCATTGCAGGATTACTTTAACGTAGTCTAATGTATGTATATTCATACGTATATTTTTATTTACCAAAAATGTGGGAAAGGTTTCATTCAAGAAGATCTTTATCACAAAGAACCCAGGGATAAATGTTGGATTTTCATTGTAGACCGTTGTATAGATTTGCGTATGTGCTTTTGCAAACGGTAAACCTGAATTCTTAGCGGTCCTTGAATTAACGCTGTCATCGTCACCTTCGTGGTAAATGGATTCACATAGCGATAGTGAACCCAACCAATAGTTGTTCCCATAGAAGAAACCAGATGTATAATGGCCGGAAGCGTCATCCACTGAAAAAATAAATCTTTGTATTATTTATATGTATATGTAGAGCATATTTTAATGAAAAATAAAAATACGTTTTTAAAATATATCATAAAAGCTAAAAAAATGCAAAATATCAACAGTTTAGAAATAGTTCCTGCGTCATATACTTAGCCCAAAGCTGCAATAATCATGTAAACTTTTTTCAACGTTTTTCAGCACTGGCTTTTATATAGGGTAACCAGACGTCCTGTTCTATCAGGACTTGTCCTGATTTCAGTGTCGAATTAAAGTGTCCTGACAGATTTTTATTTTCCCGCGTAATGTCCTGATTTTTACAAAGCTGTCCTTTTGTGAACTTTTTACTGTGTAAACATATCGATAGGCGCTTGTTTGTACATCGTTCACATAATAACATAGTGACATATGGGTATTTCCACAAAAATTTAAACCGAAAATGAAAGTAAATGGGTTCAAAAGGCTTTATAGTTTTCAATTTCGTATTCAGATGGCGAAAAAAGGGCTATGAAAACGCGTAACAGTGGAGAACTAAAAAAATTAAATACAAAATTTAATTATATATGTATTACTAGTAAAAACATTGTTTGGGGAAAAATCTCTCACGTCCGTTATCATATTTTAATTAAAAATAAAACAAAGACCGGTTTGCTTCTGATTAAAAATGAATTGGTCTTAAAAATGAATATTTGATACTATTTTTTCGTTTATAATAAATAATATAATAAGTTCACAATAAAAAGAAAATGTCTTTAAATATAGTTGCTCAACACTGTGAATCACAGTTGATTTCAGCCCTTATACATAATTTAGAGTTTTTATATTATTTTATTGATGTACATAAGTACATATTACTTTTTTGGGTCAAAAATGACCCTATTTCTAACA